CAATTCCAATAAATGTAATTCTAATAATTCTAACTCTAATTCCAGTTTTAATTCTAATGCTAATAATTCTAATTCTAATATAAGATATGAAGACCTCCAAGGTCCCTTACAACTCTATTCTAATTCTATTCTATTCTATTCTATTCTCTATTCTACTCCTTATTCTATTCTATTCTATTCTATTCTATTCTATTCTATTCTATTCTATTCTATTCTATTCTATTCCATTCCATTCCATTCCATTCCATTCCAATAATTCTAATAATTCTAATTCTAATACTTATAATTCTAACAATTCCAATTCCAATAAATGTAATTCTAACAATTCTAACTCTAATTCCAATTTTAACTCTAATGCTAATAATTCTAATTCTTAAGTCTTAGAACAAGACTTTATTGTCACTTCGAATGCACACTAATTTTGGCATGCATTAAAATGAAATTTCATTGCGCACCGCTCTCAAAAAGGGTCACCCATCGGTGGTGGTTACCTGGAGGCCCACCTGTATTGGAAGTGACATTTTTGTCTCGGACGGTGACTGAAGACGAACGCCGTGCCTCTATCCCCCCCCCCCCCCACTCGCCGGCCCCCCCCCCCCCCCCCCCCGACTCTCCAAAATCCAACTTGTGTGTCTCCCAGGGACGTCTGACGAAGCAACGCCAAGCGTGTCCAAACACTGTTCTAAAAGCGAGCGGCTTCACTCGAATCCACGCCACGGCTGGCAATTCCTCCTGTAGCTGCAGGTAAAGGCTCCCCGCTCCACCCCCCCACCCCCCAAATAGATCCTGCTATCGGATTGCAATTAAATTGATGGGCAAAGATAGCCTGTGTGGATGCTCCAGGTCTTAATTCATCATCATCCGCATCGACCGGGACTGGCGAGCCATCGATTCCCCGACCCCGGCATAAAACAACACCAAATTTTGCTACCGCCAACTCACTCAAGCTCTTGAAACAACACAGAAAGGGAGGAGGAAGGCAGGAGTGGGCTGGCTGGGAGGGGAGGTAGGGGTCTTTTCCAAGGAGGAGAGGCGGGGTGGGTGGGGAAGGAGAACAGGTGGTGGTCCTCGACTTATGGACACATAATTTGGGGACAGAATGTCCGTGGGCCGAGCAAGAGAGTTGTGTCCGACTGTATGACCTTCCTTTGCCATGGTTGTTAAAGCGAATCGTATGCAGTGGTTAAGTGAACCAGGAGCTCGTTATGCAAACCTGGCTCCTCCCCACGGATTTTCCTTCCGAAGAGCCAGTGGGGGAAGGTTACAAAGGACAGAATTAAGAGAGCGGGAAGGGACCTTGGAGGTCTTCTAGTCCAACCCCCTGCTCAAGCAGATGACCCTAGGCCATTCCAGACAAATGGTTGTGCAATCTCGGCTTGAAAACCTCCAGGAATGGAAGGATGGATGGATGGATGGATGGATGGATGGATGGATGGATGGATGGAAGGAAGGAAGGAAGGGAAGGGAAGGATAGCAGAATAACTGAGTTGGAAGGGACCTTTAAGGTCTTCTAGTCCAACCCCCTGCTCAAGCAGATAACCCTAGGCCATTCCAGATAAATGATTGTGCAATCTCTGCTTGAAAACCTCCAGGAATGGAAGGATGGATGGATGGATGGATGGAAGGAAGGAAGGAAGGGAAGGATAGCAGAATAACTGAGTTGGAAGGGACCTTGGAGGTCTTCTAGTCAAACCCCCTGCTCAAGCAGGAGACCCTAGACCATCCCAGGCAAACGTTTATCAAATAACTTCTTGAAAATCTCCAGTGATGGAGCATTCAGTAGTTCTGGTGGCAAGCAGTTCCACTGGGTTAATTGTTCTCACGGTTAGGACATTTCTCCTAATTTCTAAGTTGTTTCTCTCCTTGATTGGTTTCCATCTGTTGCTTTCTGCTCTGCCTTCAGGTTCTTTGGAGAATGTCATCCCCCTCCTCTCTGTGGCAGCCCCTCAAATATTGGAAGGCTGCTCTCCTGTCTCCCCCGGTCCTTCTCTTCCCTAGACTAGCCAGGCCCAGTTTCTGCAACCGTTCATCGCATGTTTCATCCTCCAAACCCCTCATTCTCCTGGTTGCTCTTCTCTGCACTCTTTCTAGAGTCTCAACCTCTTTTTTATAGTATGGCGACCAAAACTGGATGCAGGACTCTAGGTGTGGCCTTACTAACAATAAGATAGATAGATAGATAGATAGATAGATAGATAGATAGATAGATAGA